GGGGGGTGTTTAAAAGCCCTCCTTTTCAAAGCAAACCCAACTGCAGGAACTGATTTTTCCAAACCTTCCCCCCTCACCCATTCTTGTGATGCAGCAAATTGGTTAACCGTATTATAGAGAACACCCTCTTTTAATGGCCTTTAATCACAGGTTCTTGAGGGTTCATTATAATGAGGTTGTTTTGTATGTCCAACAACACAGTAAGGATCTGTATAGAAAATAGCCATTAGGAATATTTGGAATGTCTTGTTTAAATTTCCCACGCATGTCTAAAATGTCTGAGAAAATGAATAGCAGTAGGTCCATACATACAAAATGATGGCATTACAGGTTTTCTTCCTTGTTACCTCTTTTTCTACTCCCCACAACCATCAGTAAGAAATGTCTGAATATGGTACAACCATCTTTAACAATCCTATTAGGTAGTAGGTTCCCATGTCTTATCAGGAAATAGTGGATTGAGGAATTGTCACCCTTTACTTATCATTGCAATACATAGTGTGCCTTCCTGATTCTTAGTCTGTCTTGACTCATTATGGAGCTCAGGGCAATAAATATTTTTACGCAGAAGACAGATTCAGAATTGGAGTCATTGATATCCGATATTACCAAAACTAGAGTTTCAAAGCCCCAGAAACTGGGCCTCAGAAAATCAGAGGGCTCTTCAATCCAACTGTATTTCCATTTTTTTCTGGCCTTTTGTTTCTGACTGTGAGGATACACTTAGATTTTCAAGCTTTTTACTGACAACCATAGAGATAATTACAACAATTTTAAAGGAAGCTGAGATTTGACACACAATCACTTGTCTAGGGCTTTGGACTTTTAAAGAAAAATATATATATCGGAGGCTCATGAAGAAAACATGAGCTGGTATATCAAGTTTTGATTTTTTAGATTTAAATATGCACCTAAATGCTCTGGACCTAATACTGTAGATTCCTACTCATTTGATCTATCCTTCTTGGTGATTTAACTTAATTTGTTTCAGGATCATAGCACTTCTGTTTCCATTGTCCTTTTTTTTGTTGTAATGATGGCCTGGCATATTTTCATTTGGGGCCAAATTCTGTACTCCTACACAAAGCTTGAAAAAACAAGCTTACTCAGGGAAATCAGGGAGGACAGGCCCTACTGCAGAGCATCTCTTACATCAACCTTTCCCCGTGCAGGAGTTTTGACCAGTGGCACAGCATAAGCATTGACACCTTGGCCGTACCTTTTCATGCTACCAATTGTGCCTTGTGAAGAGCCTCTGAGAGCAAAACTCCATGGTGTCTAGGATAGAATGCAGTACTAAAGAATCACAATAAATCCACTGAATCTGGGTCTCTGTTGCAGCTAAGACCCAAGTAAGACTTTTGCCCAAAATGAGTAACCATCATTGCAGCAAATTATGAATTTTTGATTTTGCTACTAAGAATAATATGTTTTGCTGCCTGAAAGGTTGATTTGAGGGCAACACTCTCTAAAGACAGACTTTACAGCAGTGCTAGAATTGCCTCTGAACAGAAGGAGCAATAAGGCATGGCTTTTGTATGCGAATTTTAAGGGGATGTATTTTGTTCCTTAAAACAAGAATCCCCTAAAAGTTTATTGTTTAAGGCTTGTGATGCTGCTGACTCAGTTTTAGGTTTGGTCCTTGTATTTGACTTAATTTTGGGTGGCTGTTAGTTTTTTACATCAAAACAGAAAAATCCCTTGTTCAAAAGAATATTAAGACTGCAGAATTAAATGTGTACAGGTTAGGAATTACCAAAATTAGGGTTTGCTGTCCTTTCCACCCCCAAAATCTAATTTCCTTCTATTCTTCTCTACTCCATTGACAACCCTCCACCAATTAACTTTTGTTGCCCTTCCTCCCGTCTTACCATTCTCTGGCTCCTGTAATCTCCCCAGCTCCACTCTGCTTCCTCCTCATCCCACTGCATTATCCTTATCCATGCTTATCCTTCGCCTTGCCACCTAAGCACAGGTGAGACTCTCCATGTTTACATTTCCTGAGCCACAGTGGCCAGAAGGAATGATTACAGGCAAAATCCTATTCAGCCCCTGCAGAGTTGTGACGGGTTGTGTGAAGTTATTGTGGATGATGCATGAGCAAACCAGTCAGCACATGATAGATCTGTAGAAACAGAATATGCCACGTACAGGGAGAATGTTTGGAACGCTTAGTAGCCAATTCTTTGTATGTCCTTATAGAACAAGTGCAATTCATATATATGTCATTTTCTTTAGCACTCAGATTTTGCTAAATGAGGATGACTTTTCATGGAGATGATAAAATATATGCCACTGACACCAGGGTGACCCTCTGCCAAATTTCAAGTTCATGCTTCAAAACTTGGAGGCACTACTGATTGTCAGTAAAACAAGTGCATTGAAAAGAGCAAAATTAACCTACTGTAATCTCAGAAATGGCTGAAACTTTTGTTGTTCTTGTTCAAACTTTCTGAATAAATTCAGACTGAAGCAAATACCTGGCATGGGAAATGTTAGTCCAAATGGTTAACCAGTTGATAACATGATAAGCAGCTGAAGACAGCATCTTGCAATGGGAAATGTTGGGCAAACTTCTTAACTACAAGTGCTGTTATAGGTAGCACAGTTAATTACTATCGGGTAGAATATATATAATTTGAGCTTTCTCCTTGCCTGTACCCGTGCTTCTTTTCTCTTGTTCTGTTTCAAGACCAAAGTATTCAAATTTGAATGATTTCTAGAACTATTTGTTTTGTGCTTTGGAGTTAGAATTAGAGTTAGTTAAACAATATATAGCAAAAGAACAAGATCATACAAAAACTTGAACAAGAGGTTCACAGAGCATAAAATTTTGGGGTGATTCCACTAACCAAGAGTGTACTATAAAGATACCTGCCCTGCTTTTAGAGAGTTTAATGTACAGGACAACAAGCTCACTAGTTTTAGCATTGCTTTACAGGAAACACATTTTTTTTTCTGTATTACAGATTTCACAAATCCTAGACCAGCTACCTCAAAAGATGATCACAGTAGGCACTGGAAAATTAAATTTCAAAAAGGCTGCATTTGCGTTTGCTTTTGCAAATGCTCACAGTTTGGGAAATTTAGGTTGAATACTAATAGGTTCCCACTATAATTTCCATTATTCAGTTTTTTAAAAAGATCAATTATGTAAGTAAAAGTGGTCATATTTTAAAAAACAACATGCCAGAAAGTCTGTAAATAGCATTTTAGGTATGGCATTAATGTTAATTTTTCCTATTATTTATTTGTATTATTGAAACACCTAAGAACCCCAGTTGTGGATTAGGATTCTATTTTGCCAGACATTGGACAGACACCAAACAAAGGAGAACCTTTCCACACAGAGCTTTAAGAATTAATAGAAAGGGGAGGGTAGCACCAGGAAATACTGATCAACATGATAAATCTCAGCACACATGTAGACATGGTTGAGTTTGTTTTTTTGTATGCCTCATGCCAAAAAATGTCTTAAGGAAGGATTTTAATTTGGTTTTAAGGAAATTTTGCTTAACTGAGTTACTACTTTAGGATATTCTGTTTAAATTTACATTCTCCTTTCAGTGCACAAGTATGCAACTATCCTTACTACAAATAGATGGTTATTTTGTACCCCATTGTACGTGTTAATTTACAAGCCCACCCCTATTTTTAAACCACTGAAATGACCACTTTTTCCACTTTCAAAAATTGGCCACTTTTCGGCATTTAAAATATGTATTTTTTCATTTTCCTGTGCGTTTCAGTTTCTAGTTCCAACCAGCTGCTAAAGCGTTGAAGTATTGCCAAAGTGTATGTTTTGGCAGTGTTTCTGGCCCAAACAGATGTGTAATTGCTGGTATTTCCTATTAGAGGCTATACTTTTAAGAAAGTCAGCACAATTTGCAGACTGGAGAGGTTATGATAATCATCTAAACACTTGTTTATTCAAACTGCTGAACCTTTAGAGACTTACCCATGACTAGAACTATGTCTAATACTGAACTAATGTTAAATCTTTGTAGCCTTTCTTTTCTAGTAGGCAGCTTAGAAGTCTTAGACAAAATATTTGGAGAAAACTACATTGTTCTTTTAGTCCTTTGTCTTCTACAGCCCTCTTCTCCAGTTTCAGATCAGTTTGTTCCAATGCTTCCAGTCAAAAATCATTCATCTTAAAGCTTTCCTTTTAATGGTTAAAAAACAACTGGCGATTACACTTTTATAGAATGAATTTACAGCTGATGTGTTATTTTAGTTATTGAACACAATGTCTTTATATAAATTGGAACTTCATTGGAAATCATAATCCTTTAATAAGGCTGAAATATAAGGGTTGGTGTCTGGTGTTTGACTCTTTCTCATTGCTATTTGAATAGCTAGATTTATTCAAATTTTGAATATCTGGATTTAATAAACTTTATCCCTGCTCCT